CAAAATTGAAGGGGAAATAAGAAGCTTCACAGACAAAAAAAGGCTAAGGGAGTTTATCACCACCAAGCCAGCCATGCAAGAAATGCTAAAGGGACTGGTGTAAAAAGAAGAAATAACAAGCTCAGAAAGAAAACAGCCACACACACAAAAAAAGAAATGGCTACAAACAAGTACCTTTCAATAATAACTTTAAATGTAAACGGACTAAATGCTCCAACCAAAAGACATCGAGTGGCTGAATGGATAAAAAAACATGACCCATACATCTGCTGTCTACAAGAGACCCACCTCATTAGAAGGGACTCACACAGACTGAAAGTGAAGGGATGGAAAAATATCTTTCACGCAAATGGAAAGGAAAAGAAAGCTGGGGTAGCAATACTTATATCGGACAAAATACATCTCAAAGTGAAGGCCATAACCAGAGATAAGGAAGGCCACTTCATAATACTAAAGGGATCAATACAACAAGAAGATATAACCCTGGTAAACATATATGCACCCAATGCAGGAGCACCCAAATTCATAAAAAAACTCCTGGAAGATATCAAAGGAGAGATCGACAACAATACAATCATAGTAGGGGACTTTAATACACCACTGACACCACTGGATAAGCCCGCTAGACAAACAATCAGCAAAGAAACAGCAATCCTAAGTGACTCACTAGATCAGATGGACTTAATTGACATCTTCAGAACACTTCACCCCAAAGCCACAAAATATACGTTCTTCTCAAGTGCTCATGGGACATCTTCAAAAATAGACCACATATTGGGTCACAAGCAAAGTCTCCCCAAATTCAAGAAGATTGAAATCATAAAAAGCTTCTTCTCAGACCACGATGGCATAATGTTAGAAATAAACTACAATAAAAACAACCCAAAATACTCAAACACTTGGAAGCTGAATAGCATGTTATTAAATATTGATTGGGTTACCAATGAGATCAAAGAAGAAATTAAAAACATCCTGGAAACTAATGACAATGAAAACACAACAATCCAAAACCTTTGGGACACAATGAAAGCAGTCCTGAGAGGGAAGTTTATAGCTCTACAGGCCTACCTCAACAAACAAGAAAAAATGGTAGTAAATCATCTAAATCTACAGCTCAAAGAATTAGAAAGAGAGCAACAAGAAAAGCCCAGAGTGAGCAGAAGGAAGGAGATAATAAAGATTAGAGCAGAAATAAATGACATAGAGACCAAAAAGATAATACAGAAAATCAATGAAACCAAGAGCTGGTTCTTTGAAAGGATAAACAAGATTGATGAACCTCTAGCCAGGCTCACCAAGAAGCAAAGAGAGAGGACCCAAATAAACCAAATCAGAAACGATAGAGGCGAAATAACAACAGACCCCACAGAAATACAAATGATTGTTAAAAAATACTATGGGGGAGGCCAGGCCTCCCCCAACTCTGAGGGCAGGGCCCCTACACAGAGTCTGCGTGGACTCCCCCGCCTGCATCACGCTGGGGAGAGGCGCCATGGGGAGCGAATACTGAGTCAGAACTGCATGCGGCTTTTCTGTTGTGGTTAATCCTCCCCAGGATATTCTTTCCATTGATTTTCAGAGAGTGGGAGGGAGGGGCAGTAACAGAGAGAAACAGCGGCTGGTTGCTTACCACACGCCCCTGACCCCCACACGCCCCCCAATCCAGGCTGTGAGGTGAGCCTGTAACCGAGGTGCCTGCCCTTGACAGGGAACTGAACCTGGGACTCTTCAATCCAAGGGCAGGCACGCTAACCATTGAACCACCAGCAGGGGTGCACAGGGTTGTTTTTATAAATGGACTCTTGCAAGAAAAAAAAAACAAAAAACTCTATTCCAACAAACTGGACAACCTGGAGGAAATGGACATATTACTAGAAAAATACAACATTCCAAAACTCAATCAGAAAGAATCTAAAAACCTCAATAGGCCAATAACTATGGAAGAAATTAAAGGAGTAATCAAAAAGCTTCCAGCAAACCAAAGCCCGGGCCAGACGGCTTCGCAGGAAAGTTTTATCAAATATTCAAGGAAGAACTAAAACCTATCCTCCTCAGACTATTCCAAAAAATTCAAGAGGAAGGAACACTTCCAAGCTCATTCTATGAAGCCAGCATCACCCTAATACCAAAACCAGATAAAGACAACACAATGAAAGAGAATTACAGGCCAATATCCCTCATGAACATAGATGCCAAAATACTCAACAAAAT